ACCTTTAGCCCACAGGCTGTGGACAGTGGCGTAGCTATGCCAATGAAACCAATGCGGTCGCGTGGGGCACTTGATTTAAGGGGGCCACAAATGATTCTTTTATTTCAAAACATTTTTTTAGGACGGCCCTCATAGAAATTTAAAAGAAGCCACAAGAAAAAAGTGTTCTGAATATCCGCATATTATTTTTTACAAGGACAACGAGGAATCGTACCTATGTTCTATAAAACGATGACTGGTCCTCTAAGCTCAGCTTTTTTACTAAATTTTACCCTACCCGTTCTTCCATGAAAGCGGTTTGAAATAACTGAGTTCGAAAACTGTCTCAGTCTTTGGACCACATTTGTTTTCAAAATATGCAAAGGGCAATCCAAGGCGTACTTCTATTTCTTTTTTCGCATTGGGGCCCAAAAAAGCTAGTTAAGCTACTGGCAGTGGCACTTATATTGCAATTCAATTCGCTTTAAGATATCATGAACTCCATCAAAAATATGATGTGGACTGCTTAACGAAAAAAGTTTAAGGTGTAACTACTGAGCTGTCTGTATTTGATCTTTAAACCGCTTTTAAGTTTGCGTGTTTTTTTATTAAAGCCAAGGTAATAGATATAAGTAAAAATCCACTTGTATTTAGTATCAAAGTATAGAGACACACACCCCTTGAATCCTTGAACTTGCTTTAAATACATCCGTTGCTTTGTCGATACGTGAGGAAGAAAAATTATTAATCACGCTATTCTAATATATAAATATCTCATGTCACGGTGTTTGTGGTCGCACTCCTCCGAAAAGGCTCGACCAATGTTAATGAAATTTTTGTTGTATATTTGGTAGGTTGAGAATAGGTCGTATATTATTTTTCATCCTTTTTAGTACTTTTTTATCTTACGTTAGATTTCTTTGATTATATAATTTATATGGCAGAACAACGTTTGCCGGGTCATCTAGTTATTTTTATAATATTCGTAAGGATATTACTGTAAACAGTATTAAAATCGGTTCAGACTGAATCTGCTTAATAGCTTATGTCCATTAAAAGCACATTACCCTCTACAAATCAGGCGATTCGAGTAAACAAGGCCATTCGTCTCCAAGACAGTTCCTTTGAAGGAATGTAACAGGTTAATGCATATAAATAAAAAGAAACATTACTTAGAATTTATTTTTAAAGGCTCTCCTCGTTACTGTTTGTTTGGTGGCTAACCACACAGAAATATATGACACTAGCAGAAAGCAGCTACGCTCGCGTTCAATCTACAAAAAAAAACTCTTAGGCTTTTTATGTTATACAGCAACTCACCCTTGCTTCGATCGGGTTCGTCGCTATGTATTTATATAATATTGTTCATACAAAAATACTAAAATTGGGATTAAAAAATGGGGTGTGGGGATAGGAGGGTGAAAATTACTTTACGACCTATTCTCATACCTACCAAATATACAAAAAAAAAATTAAAATCGGTCGAGCCGTTTCGGAGGGGTGCGACCACAAACACTGTGACACGAGATATTTATATATTAGATTAAACTATTTTAACAACTGCCAAATTAATGTATAGAGGAATCATGAACGAATTAACCAAATTCGTCCATGAGAGGAATATAAAATTAAGAAAGGGTTTGAGGCAGTTACATTTATATTATCGAAATAAGAGTATAATTGAAGCGTTTAAGCTAAAACTGTGTTACTTTCAACAAAATTTGTTCGCTAATATTACTTATAATAAAATGTGAAAAATATAGCAAAATTTCTATTTTATAGTAATTCTAAATTTCCTTTATGTGTGAATTTAAAAAAGAAAATACACAATTCGGTTGTGTATTTTTAAGACGCATGTAAATGGGATCGCTCGTCTTTCTATTTAACTACACGTGCATACAAAACAAAAAAGGACGTTTGAGAACGCAGTTTCTCTGACTCAGCGGCTATTTTAGTATGTGTCCTGCTTGTTAGTTTTCGTTAAACCAAGATAAAGCGGTCGGTACAAGAATATAGACTTTAAACTACACAATATAATTAACGTATACATTGTAAATAGCTTGATATTTACAATGTTTCAAAGGCTATATACTAAGATTATATTATTACTAGCAGAACCCGCGGCTTCGCTCGCGCTAAAACGCCAATCCGTTACTCCGTTTCGACGTGAAAGAAGGACAAACAAACAAACAAACGAACAAACACACTTTCACATTATGATTATTATATTAAGTATGGATTTATTCTTGAACTAGCGACTTACCCTCGCTTCGCTCGGATTCCTCTCTAGGTGAAATTGACATAACTGTTTTATTGATCAACCAATTGAAAAGATACAAATTTTAAATTATTCTAAATGTTAAATGGCGCTTACCACTTGACATTAGTGAAAACCGCACCAAAATCGGTTAAGCTGTTTCTGAGATTAGCGCGCACAAATACACACAAACAGACAAAAATTCTAAAAATCACTGTTTTGGGTTCTATTGCGTTAATAAAGACCCCCAATAATTTTTCTCAAATATCTTCCATGTACAGACAGCGATCTGTTACACTTTTATTATACGTAACAAATATGCCTGTTAATTGTTAAGTTTAAAAACTTATCCAGTATGCGAAACAGGATAACATTAAAGACGTACTGATGAAGAGTATATTTTTTCAATTACTCTTCAAAATATTTTCATCCACATTTCATAAGTATAATTCAGTTGCATAACAAACTATGTATTTTCTCTTTAAAGTTTAACCAAATCTTAATATATAGTATATAAAGATAAGATGGTAGTCTTACATTCTCGATAGCCATTTTATAGTAACAATATGAATTGTTAATAGCAAAGCAACAATTAATCGAGTGTAGGTGTACCGGAATCTGGTCGTAAAAGGAGGCTCCTCCACATAGTGCAAGCCCGTTATTTCGATGTTAGATTTCATCCACGATATTTACTTATGGTGCCGTTATTTTTGCAATTATAGGTAAGTAGAATGATAAAGAAAGTATTTTCCTTTCTAATTCATTAGTCCTCAGTTAATAATTTGGTAAAAAAAGTTTTTCTGTACAGTAATGTCTCACTTCCTATACAAATGGCTTGGAAGCTTATTTAAAGCTTACGGTATGTTTATGGCAAAATGTTCAACCTATATATATTGAAGTTCATAATATTTTTGCTATATTTATATACTTATTCAATAGTTTCCTACTGCATATTACATCAACACAGTAAAAAATGTAGTATATTAAATAATCGATTTTTCTTCAATTTCAATTGCAGGCTTTTTGAAATTCGCCATCTTGGTTTTTTTATTATTTGTTGTCATAGCGGCAATAGAAATACAAACTGTGAAGATTGCAACTCTCTACCTATTACACGGTTCATGAGATAGAGCCCTCTGACAGACGGACAGACGGACAGCGGTGGCTTAGTAATAGTAGGTTCCGTTGGCACCCTTAGGGTTCGGAAGTTCCTAAAAAGCGACTATTTTGTGTAAGATCAATCTCTCAAATTTTGTATCGCCTACTAATATGAATGATACATACAAACTTGCTTACTATATGTGTATATAATATGTGAACATATACTGTGCGTGTATGTAGATTGTACATATGTAGTGTAATGTGTTTCTCAAATTGCATCCAAGCCGCCAAGAATCGAACGATCATAAAAGTTCTTTAACCTTAGGTCCCAGCGTTTTTACTTGCAAAATCATATATTAACCGTCACTTTTTATACTAAGTTTTTGCACGTATTGCTTCGATTTGTATTGTAATTTCAAACGATTCATTACTGCTAGTAGATAATTTATGTATCATTGCCTTTAAAATATTAACTTTATAAAAGTACAATTATTCTGTAGGTACAATGTAACCTAGAGTTTCATGAATATTGTATCATTAGTATGGGAATTTTTAATTTCAATCCAATGTTAGGAGCTACTTTTAAATCATTCAATTGATTATAAAATCTATTAAAAAAGTACTAGATACACAATCAGCGACAAAAAATGTCCTCACCGAATGAGCGCTCATTTCAACAATTGAGCGCGCTTTCAATTTAATTTTCTTTTGTGAAAACAACTAAGCATTGCAGTTAAGGATCAATTTACATTATTGTATATTTATTTCAACTAGAATAATTGCCTAAACACAATTGGTTATTGGTGACAATTTCAAGAGAAAAGGTTCTCTTATGTATGGGATTGTGTACCAAGCAGGTACTTTTTTGATCGATGGATTATTAAATAAAACATCTATTTATTTATTCAAATACGAGATATTTAAAACTTACAATATTGATATAAAAATAAGCATACGGTTAGTTTAGTATATTGTTTTGACTGGAGCAAAAAAATTTAATCTCGAACAGTTCTGACGATATCGTTGAAGGAAGAAATATATGGAAGCTATAGCGAATAACAAGTATGTACTCGTAATTGACATGTTAAAAAAATGATAGGTTTTTGTTATCGTAATGAATTTTCAAGATGTATGTTTTTTCCAAACCGGTATTATTGGCTGATGGTAATAACATAAAAACTTGATGCTCTCTGTTTATTCATATGCAAGACCAGGAAAGCTTTAAAGCGTTACTCATGTCTAAAATAAATGTTAAATTTTAATAATTTTGTACATATACAATCTACATAAAATTTACTTTAAAAAAATGTTATAATTCTTTACTTCACTTAACGAAATAGATATGGTAATATTATTATGTAAGTTTTTTAGAATTATTTCTAATTACTGAATAATTCATTCAATTCTCTTGTTAATGGATTTAAAGCGTCCCAGTTGAGCACAGATTACATCGCCAATGAGAAGACACCAAAGAGTTTTTTTTAGATTTACGCGAATATTTGACATTTTAAATAAAACTATCTTTTCGGATTATTTCGCGGATTTATTTTGATTTTTGGTTCCCGACGTTCCGAATGTTTTACAGCAATCATCGGATTGCGCAAGATACGAAAGAAATTGATCGGTAAATTAAAATAATTAAATAATACTTTTCTTTTCATAGAAGGCGAATTGGAAACAGAATGGTTGCAAGCAGCTGGCTTGGGATCGTTGGCCGCGCCCTTCCAAGCTGGGCTAGAGGTCACAGAGGCTCAATTAGGAGAGGCTGTACGACCTCTCCCCCGAGAGCAAGCTGCTGCAGTACGACGAAGAGTTAGGCGACTCAACAGAACTGTGAGGAGACGACGGGCTGCATCCCGCGCCAAGAAACCAGATATACGAGATGTTTTCAGGGATTTAGAAGTAAGTGTGTTAATTTTTTAAATTTTAAATTTCTGTTCGTGTCTTATTAATTAGGTAACGTCCCAAAATTGGATATGATATTTTGTTTATTGAAATTGAATTGATTACCGAGCATTTTTATGAGACCATTATCGAGTCTGATGACATGGTTTTTCTTAAGACTAAAATTTTGATCGAGGAAAAATAAATAAGCTATTAATTAACAATCTAATTAATTTTAAATCATAAGTAAATCCCAAATACATACATATATTTTAAAAGTAAGATTAGGTGTACACTTTACTATAATGATTAGTTTGACTTCGTAGAAAATAGCCGAAGTGACAGATTTCTTTTCACCTTTTACGCACAAGAACCAGTCTAACATAATGTGGCAATCCGAGAAAACAGATTATTATGTAATTCTACATATTTCGTAAAACTTGACAAATTGTGTATAATGCTTAGGTTTGGTTTAATTAGGCAACAAAGTTTCACTGAGCCTGTAATGAGCTTTATAATACAAAATAATCAGGTTAACGAATTATATAAGAAATTAAGGCACTCACTCATATTATAAAATATTCTCACCATTCATCATTTTGATGATGTATCTACAAGATATTTCAAATTACACTGATATTGGTAACCGGTTGCTAATGCTACTTAATGTCTTCGTAATTTTTTTTTTAGAAATATTATGTTAGGTAAAGAGTTACGTATATAACCTAAGGAGGCCAAACGAATATGTATGAGAATCTTTTTTATTGCATCGACACAAGTTGACCCTACTTGTTGTGCCAGCGGTCGCGGGTTCGATTCCCGCTGGGGATATTCATTTGTGTGATGAGCACGAATGTTTGTATTCCAGTCATGGGTGTTTATATCTATGATATGTATGTATTTAATGTTATACATACATATATGTAGTGTATCAACTATCTGGTATCCATAACATAGGCCTCTTAGCTCACGATGGAACTAGATGCTGTGTTCTAATATCCCAACATATTTATTTATTTTATAATCTTACTAATGTTTCAATGGAACAACTAATGGTAGAAATACTTCGTTTTTTTATATCATCTGGTTGGGAGTTTTAAATATTTTCCTTGAAGTTAGCGGTTATAGAAACTGTTTATTATAAAAAATTGTTACATAGTAACGGTCTTACGAATGTCTAAATGTATCATTACTTAATTTTTACACGCTATTTCATTAAATTTACAACGCATGGGAATATTTTTTTATACCTCATATTTTTAGAGTTAATTTGAATAAAATTTAAATAATATTATTTATAAAATAAGTTTTTATTTTGTTTTTTCTTTTAATACCGTGTTTAGTGCCGTGTTTTTAATATAGACTTACCGTGGATCATTGATAACATCCAAGCAAATCCAATAGCTCGCTTGTTAGTCCAGTCAATATAGAAAAAAAACTGCGAAATCTACATAAAATATTTTTTGTAGATTGATTCACCTCACTGGACTATGTTAAATGATTTTTTAAATAATTTTTAAAAGATATTGGAAGTATTATTTAGCTTTTTTTTAATATAGAACTACCATCATATTTTTATAATTGTATATTATTATTTTTTGACTAAAGACCACTGCTATTTTCTTCCGTTTTTGGTTTTAGACTTCGCGTGATGGCTATGCGTTAAGTTACACCTAATAAAATAACTAAATGCTTGCTCTTGAGTGTCCTTACTCTAGTATTTTAGATTCAAGAATGATAGAAGATAATTGAAAATATGTTCAGATCGTTTTATGTCAAGTTTATGAGCGCTTTTTACATCTCACACACCGTTATTCTCAGCACTAGACGAACTGGTTTGACTGCAAATTTGATTTCTAAACGTAACGTTCAATGCTAACAGTCAATAAATATGACGACTTTAAATATAATTTTTACTGCATATTTGAAATAGGTAAATTCTATTATTGTCTGGTTAGATCTTAACACTTTATCCTTCTAATATTATAAATGCGATAATGAGAGTTTACAATAATATAGCTCATACATCAGAATAGCATATAGGCTACTTTTTATTCCGGAAAAATGTACGGTTCCCGTAGGATAGATTTGTTTTTGTTTCTCTAGAGGCGAACCCGAGCGAAGCGAGATTGAGTTGCTAGTATTTAATATAATAATTTCTTAGATTTACACGAATATTTGACGCTTAAAAGAAAACGCTAATTTTTCACCGATTTGTTTTAAGTTTAGTTCTAAGTGGTGACCTTCTCCCGTGACCATGATTGCTGTAACGCATTTGAAACATCGGAAAACAAAAAATCTATATATTTAATTAAGAATTTTGTAACAATAAGTGACTGGGATCATGAAGAAACACTTACTTGCATTAAACGCGAAAATTCTTTAAATATTTCCTCTTACCTACATCCGATTTCCTTTTTATCTAAGTAATCATGTTAATTACTCAGCCTGTTTACTATTTCTCACTGATTTATATTTATTATGGCTTGAAATCACGCGATGTAAGCTACTGTTCACATACTCTACCAATAATACTTTCTTAGATTTACGCGAATATTTAACATTTTAAATAAAAATATCTTTTTGGATTATTTCGCGGATTTATTTTGATTTTTGGTTCCTGATGTTTCGAATGCTTTACACCAATCATGGTCACGGGAGAGACTATGGTTAAAGACGTCTCAAAGGCATTATACATCTGTTACAGAGAGACTACCAAGTTCATATTTCATACTTAAATATTTCTATTACAAAAGTTTAACATTATTTGTGAAATGAACTTTTGCGTATTACAAATACCTATACTTAATTACACTTTTGAGTTAAATTAATCTTCTATATATATAGAAAAATCAATTGCCGTTCGTTGGTCTCGCTAAAACGACTGGATTGGTTTGAATAATTACATATAATAATAATAATATTAGTAGTAATAATATTAGTATATTTTGTACCTATGTATAGTCTATCTATTCCATAGTAACCGTTAAAACGTCCTGAGGGACGAACTCGAGCGAAACCAGGGTAAGTCGCTAGTAATAAAACATATTTTAATTGAAATATATTTATTTTTTAAGGATTTTCCTAAAAATTATGATTACGTCTGTTTATTATTAAATCTTATAATTATAATATTTAAATTAGGAAGTCGAGTAGGAGCTTATATCATCATACAACGTATTTATTTTCTTTTTACACAAAAAGGCATGGTTGACACATATTAATCCATACTTAATACTAATATTATAAATGTGAAAGCAACTCTGTTTATTTGTTTGTTATCTTTTCACACTTATACTCGTACCGCTAAAGAAATTTCGATGAAATTATCGAAGACATAGGTACATTCTGCCATTAAGCAATCTGTCAAAAAAACAAGAATCGAAATAAATATTATGTGACGGTATATTTTTAATTTTAATTTAATCATTTAGGTGTTTCAGGCAATATTTACAAAACGATCTTAAATATGTAAACAGAGGCCCATAACACATATACCTTAAAACTAACATATATATTAATTTTAAAACTTGAAAAGATATAGCTAGCTGTTCAGTTTTTTAGGCTGTGCCACTGTCGTGTCGTGTCGAATCCAATGCTGTGATCATATTTATTACGGCGTAATGCACGAAAATTGATTAAACTAGTCGAAAGCTTGTCATGATTTGTGAGACCTTGAGTTTCAGGTGTAAGCTTAATTTCTCTACTTATTGCCACTGATATTTGAAAAGAAATTTATATTTCAATATTAAATATGTTATTAAGTGGTGGTTAATTATATTTAAATTGTGGGTATGCACTGTCTGTAACAAGTATATTACGTCTTTAGACGTCTAAAACCTTAGTCTCTCCTGTGACCATGACGCTAACCAAAAATCTAAATAAATCCGCGAAATAATGCGAAAAATAGTTTTATATAAAACTAGCGACTCACCCTCGCTCCGCTCGGGTTCGACCTTACTTACGCTTTAACGTTTTGTATAGATTTCTCAAGTATCCTATATGTTGACCCGGATACAAAGCTATCACCATAGCAAATTTCATCAAAATCTCTGCAGTGGGTTTTCCGTGATGCGGCCACAGGCAGACGGACCGACAAACGAAAATTCTAAAAATTATAGATTCGGCCTCTGTATCGATAAAAATGACTATTTCAATAAGATTTTCCAAAAAAATATTTAATGTACAGATTCGACTCAGTTTTATTATATGTACTAGGTATAGATATTAAATATTTATTTTAATTGGCAGGAAATTTAAAGATAATATTATTAATGTAGCACGCACTATAGCTACGCAATTAAAAATAGGTAGTTTATAAATTAAATATAATGTGTCACTTCTTTAAAAAAAATTTATAAAGTAATATAAAAAATAGTATCACGTTAGTATTATAAATGCCATAGAGAGTGAATGTGCGTTAGTTACTTCCTCGTGCAGTTACGGCTCAACGGATTTGAGAATTTAGAAACGAGACATCCTGGGCTAATTTTTATGGACATACATACACAACAGGAGCGGTTCCTCGGACAGACATACTCGTAGTGTTTTTGTTTAATTTTTCTTATATAATTCGAATTTCTATAACATAACTATTTAATAATACTAATCATTTATTTACCAAAAACACATAAACAGTAAACAATATTACATACAAAAACAAACATACATATGTATATATTATTTATTATACAGAACAATCTTAGTTTTTAAGTTCAGTTTAACTTAGGCTGTGCCGACAGCGACACATATAAGATATGGTACACATATACATAAAAGATATGGTAGCAGCCTCTGCTGTTAATTTAATCTTGAATATGTTGATGAAATATATTTCTTGCAACTAGTTAATATATTATACGAATATGAATATTTATAGGCTACAATTATTGGTCAATTATTTTGGTAATATTGCATAACTAACGCAATACAATATCGAAGACGCAACCAGCTCCATACACAGTTAGACACTTGCGCATTACAGTACATCGATTGTCATAGAATTTAGTTTAATGATA